AATCAAAATTTATAAATTTTAAACAAAATAAAAATAACACATTATCTGAAAAATGAAAGAATGGCATCACATTCATTGTCAAAAAGAACATTTGAAGATTTATCCTGAGCTGTAACGATTGAGTTAATACAACTATTATTCACATTTATACACCAACCACTAATGTCAAAGATGAATAAATTGAAGATTTTGACAAGCTTCAACAGTCTGAAATTGATCAAACATGTAATCAAGCAGCTTTGATAATTATTGTGATTACAGTGTGAAAGTTTGAAACTAAGAATGAGCGTTAAAGTGTGCCTGACACAAGTCATGGTCTGTTCAGTTATCACATATGTGTGCCAAAGTTGAATGATACATGAGGGAAAACCAAGGAAGAATTAATGCCTTTGATTTATTATTTTTGGTAAACAATACTGAATATACCATGCACTTCCAAAAGATCTACTGAATCACAAGCAACAAATGCTGGCGAGGTTGTGGAGAAACTAGAGTGTAAAATGATACAACCGCTATGGAAGGAAGTATGGCACTTTCTCAAAAAGTTGGAAATAGAAATACCATTTTACCCAGCAATCTCACTACTGGGAATATACCCTAAAGAAGCCAGAACTGTCTCCTAAGCAGATATACACACACCCATGTTTATTACTGTGTTGTTTGCAATAGCAAAGAGATGGAAACAACACAAGTGCTGCCAATCAACAAACAAATGGATAGAAAAACTGTGGTATATTCACACAATGGAATATTATGCAGCACTGAAAAACAAGGAACTCATGAAATATACAAAATGGGTGACCATTCAAAACAACTATGAGAAATCATCTCACCCCAGTCAGAATAGCAAAATTTAACAGAATAGTAAGCAACAAATGCTGGCAAGGTGGTGGAGAAACTGGAATCCTTATTCATTGTTGGTGGGAGTGTAAAATGGTGCAACCACTGTGGAAGACGGTGTGACACCTTCTCCAAAAGTTGCAAATAGAGATACCATTTTACCCAGCAATCTCACTACTGGGAATATACCCCAAAGAGACCATAACTGACATCCAAGCAGATATATGCACACTCATGTTTATTGTGGCTTTGTTCACAATATCAAGGAGTTGGAAACAACTTAAGTGCCCATCAACAAACAAATGGATAAATAATCTGTGGTATATTCACACAATAGAATACTATGCTGCATTGAAAAAAAAACAAGGAACTCATGAAATATTATTCAAAATGGGTG